AGAGCTTGATCCACCAACCTTGCAGTTCAAATGACTTTGTAGTCTGACGCATTAGCCCACAGTAACAGGACATCCATATTAGGACCAGTTTAATACAAATTCACAAGATTATACAAGACCTTTTCTTTTTCAAACCAGTACTTCTAAAAGCATAGTTTCCTTATCGGTATTAGAGCCAATCTACAACTGTTGTTGTTGTAAGGTGCCATGGAGTCAGTTCTGACTCATAGTGACCCTGTATAGGGTTTCCAAAGAACAGCTAGTGGGTTTGAACTGCTGACCTTGTGGTTCGCTGTCCAGTGCTTATCCTACAGTGCCACACTACAGTCCATGTAGAACTGTAGTGTTCTGAATGTGAATACCTTTTCTCTGGTATCCACTGAAGTAGGGAGGATTAGGTCAGAGGCATTCTAAACAAAAAAGGAAAACTGATCCAGCAGAGTCTGTCACTGTTGCTACTGGTGGTAAGCAGAGCCTTGGTCCCACAATGATGTCTATGTTCTAAGCCCCAGATCCTGTGAATATAGTAATTTGCATGGCAAGAGGAATTTTGCAGATGTGATTAAGTTAAGGACCTTGAGATGGCAAGATGATCCTGGATTATCCAGCTGGGCCCAATCCGGTCACTTCAAAATGAGCCAGAGAGATGCAACCTGAGAAAAACCTGACTGGCTGTTTGCTGGTTTTGAAGACAGAAGACGGGGTTCCTGAATCAAGGAATGCAGTGGCCTCTACGATATTGGATAACTCTCTAAGAAGTGAGGACTTTGGTTCTACAAGTCACAAGTAACTGAATCCTTCAAATGTCCCAAATAAGCAATAAATGAATTATCACCTAGAATTTCAGTGAAGAATACTGTTATTTACACTTTAATTTTCCATCACTTGTTTATCAGCGTGTGATGACTTGCATGTTGCTATGATTCTGGAAAATATGCCAATAGTGTTTTTACTAGTTTTTACTGTTTTATAAGCAGTGACACTCATACTAGACTTCTGACCTACAGAATTATAAATGAATACATTTGTGTTATCTTAAGTCACTAAATATAAGGTAATTTTTCCAGCAGGGATATAAAATACACTGTTTCTACTAAGGAAAGTAAAGGGAGTGAGGAAACAGATGTCTGAAATAATGGCAATTATTTAATAAGCTTTAATGGCCGTTTTAAGAAGTGTTTCACCACCCAAATATCTTTAATCATCTAAGCACAATATTTCAGAGAATACTTTTAGCAGCAGCATAATTAAAAATCAAATTTTATGAAACAAAATCAGAAGATGATTTTCTTTTTAACAAATTAAGATGTCAGTTGCTTTAGTACTGTATTCCATAATCTAAAATAGATACTCACTCCTACTTTCCTAGAGGAGGCCAAAATTCTTCTATCTCTATGTATTTCACTTTATTTAAAAAGCAATATAGTAGATGTATGTTAGAACAACTTTATCTTGCCAGGTAATGGTAATTTCAAAAGATAAGTGACTACAGAAGAACTATAAAATAGTCTGCCATTTATTAATCTAATAGTTCCCTACATTTTAATGTAGCGATTACAGTTATGTTCATTATATCTTCATCCTGGTAGGAGACCTGGTAGTGTCACGGTTATGTGCTGGGCCACTAATCGCAAGGCGAGCAGTTTAAATCTACCAGCTGCTCTGCGTGAGAAAGATGAAGCTTTCTGCTCCCGTAAAGATTTACCGCCTCGGAAACCCTATACAGGTCGGTATGAGGCAGAACTGACTTGACAGCACACCGCCACCATATCTTTACCCAAAAGTGGTACTAAACTAAAAGAATATAGAATAAAACTGAAAATGTGTATGAAATTGTATAATGCCTACCACATCAAGAGACATAGCTTAATTAAATGAAATTAGCAAAAAAAAAAAAGGAGTGGTTTAACATTTATGATGATTTCCTGTTGTTGTTGTTGTTGTTGTTGTTAAGTGCCACTGAACTGAATCAATTCCGACCCATAGCGACCCTGTATAGGGTTTCCAAGGAGCAGTTGGTGAGCTTGAACCACCAACCTTGCAGTTCAAACGACTTTGCAGTCTGACACATTAGCCCACAGCACCACACCAAATCATAACATAGGCATACCTTTAAAGCAACAACAAAATCAAACTTAATGTGAATCCAAACAAATTCATTTACTTTTAAAAATACTTAGACATAATTTAAACAATTTGACAATTAAAAATTTAAACTTAAAGCAAGTTTTTGCATAGATCAATCATTATATCACAGCTGTTTCTCAATATTTTAAAAACAAAATAATATAAAACAATAACCAATTCAAAGACTACTTATATTTGATTTTAAAATACAAAACAGAAGAGGAAGTCTCTGTTCTGGAAATTTGCAAAATATCAAACAATAATAAAACTATACATCAAAGATCTGAGCAAGTGAAAGCTAATGAAACACTACTCAGCTTGCCATGTATTCCTTGCTTTCCAATTCATGACAGCAGAAGGAAAGTAACCACAGAATACAATGTTCTCCTCAACCCTAATCACTTCAAGAGATAGATCAAACATCCAGGGTTTCAAGAAGTTTCCTTACCTATACCAGCCCTCCAAGGAAGGTCAAACTGGCTGACCTTTATGCTCCTCTGAAAAGCCTCAATATCACTCATTAATTAACATACAAGTTTGCGATCATCATATTTCTGTTACCCTACTAGTTTTAGGAGACCTGGTGTGGCACTGTGGGTTAATGCACCAGTCTGCAAAGCCATTTGAACTGCAAGGTCGGTAGTTCAAGCTCACCAGCTGCTCCTTGGAAACCCTACACAGAGTTGCTATGGGTTGGAACTGACTCGACGACACTTAACAACAACTAGTCGTAGGAACTCTGGTAGTGTAGTGGTTGGGCTGGTAACCTCAAGGTCAGCAGTTCGAAACTACCAGCTGTTCCACAGGAGAACGATGAGGTTTTCTGCTCCCATAAAGATTTACAAGCCTTGGAAACCCTGTGCGGGGTCACTATGAGTTGGAACCGACTCCACTTAGCACTTAACAACAACAACTAGTCGTAGAGGAGCTCTGGTAGCATAGTGCTTACAAGTTGAACTGCTAACCTCAAGATTAGCAGTTCTGCAGGAGAAAGGTGAGGCTCTCAGCTCCTGTGAAGATTTATAGCCTCAGAAACTGACTCCACGGCACATAACCACCACCACCGCTGGTTCTTAGAACACATTGATTTTGATATCCTACCTTTATTCCTTCTAATATTGCCCAAAGGATATTAAAGAGTACTTCAAAATGGTACATGAATTTTCCTTAATGTCCATTCTGTTCACATCTTTTGAGGAAATTAAGTGTTTCAGACCATTAAAATATATATATATTTTTTCTAACTGCTGAATTGAGATTAAAAAAGAAAATATCAACAGCTCCTTGCCTTCCACCATACAAAGAATTACAGTCTATGTTTAGAAAAATCAACAAATACGATGGTAATAAAAGGACCTGGAAAAAAATCCATATTTCAGTGTCATCTGTGCTTAAATATTCAATGGACACAACATTAAATATGGCTAGAAATCACTATATATTTTTCAAACTTTCCACAGATAGAAAATATTTAAGGTGCACTTGACCCAAGCCATGGTATTTTGAATAACCTCATATGCAAGTGAAAGCTGGACAGTGAATAAGGAAGACC